AAGATATATTATGAACCTTAAACAATTAAAGTAAAGGCAATTTCACTCCTTTTGTTCACTTTTAACAAACGTTCGTCAAATTAGGGCTGAAAGTGTAATTTTTTCCTAAATAATTTTGACGGATGTTTATTAAAAGTTAATTGTAGGGACGAAATTGCTCAAATTTTAATTATTTAGAGTTTAAAATACATCTTTAAAAATTTAAAATTTAAATTATTCATAAATCTATAGTTTAAAATTTAAATTATATATTAATCTCATACAAAATTTGACAATAATTTGTTCAAGTGGGGAGAGTCCATGCCGCACTTATGAGCATGACAAGTGGATACCTAAAATAGATTTTTGGTTGCATGCAACTGTAAGCTTTGAAAGCTAATATTTAAATATAATTTTATACCTTCAAGTCTTCTACCGGCGTTCAAATATGCGTTTGTCATGTGTACGCGTGAGAAATTGACGTGGCTATTTATATATACTCTCATGTTAAAAAATTAAAATATTTTTAAGAGAATAAATATTAAAATATTTTTAATCTTTTAAGATAGAATTACTGTCTTTTTTTTTTAAAGTATCCATATTGAATAAATCATTCTAGAATTATTTTAGAGTAAAGTATCCTATTAAGTAAGGATAAATATAAAAAGACATGGTTAGTTTAAAGATAAATAACTACTTTATTAAAAATAAAATTCAATTACAAAATACCTTATATTTTTAACGGACAGAGTATATGTTAATTAAATATTAATAATAGAATAAAATACAGTAACATCTTTTTCATTTTATTAAAATTATAAGATCTTTCTTCTATTTGCAAAACCTACATTTTAATTCAATTTTTTTAACACTATTAGGAAGATTATGTCAATGACTCTAAAACACTTAATTTTTTATTTGTAGTTATGTTAAAAAATTTAAAATTATTAATTTGTCTTTATGATTTAATTGTCCACTCTCTTTGCCAATTTAAAAAATTTAAATAATTAAGTATGTCAATATTTAAATAAATAGTTTACAAGTTTTAACCGCTGGTTTGACTTTTTTTAAAATTACTAAATAAATATGTTTACATAAATAAAAAATTTAAAAATATAAATAAAAAAAAGTAAAAAAACATGAGCATGATTTTTTTGGGCAATTTAAATGATTTTTAAACAACATTTATACTTAAAGAAGAGTATTTTGGTCCAACAAGTATGACTTAATAAAAAACTAACAGTTGGTAGATGGAACTAAAATCTTAAAAATAGAGAGCGTGTTTGTGTTTTATAATTATTCACATTAGGAGAGATTCATTTAGATTTCAAAAATAAAGAGATGTATCTATAGTTAAGATAAAATAAAAAAGATGTCAAAGTATTTTATTGTTAATAATAATAGCATGCTTAGCTTGTTCTATATTTGTATATATTTCCGTTTTAGTTGATACTATAATGTTATCTTAATTAATCTAAAAATAATTAGATAATTAGTTTAAAAAGACATTAAGAAAATTATTGGAATTTTTGCACATATGGCCCATATCATAAGACCAAATAAAAAAATAGCCTCTCCTTTTTTAAATTTCAAAAATGTCCATTTTAATATTTAGTTGAGATTTAATTTATGAAACTATCCTTTTAAAATTATAATACTCTACTTTTTGCAAATGTCAAAAGAGAGTCAAAAGGTGAAAAATCATATGAACGAGATAGATAAATGCGAGCTATAGTCACGATGGAAGAAACAAGTAGATTAAACTCAAAGATGAAAGAAAGTAGAGCAATGTGAGCGAGCCACAATAACAATCGCAAGAGACAAACGTAAGGTGAGAGACATTAACAATACTCGATGAAACAGAGTACGCTAGTGGGAGAACAGAGCTACAGATTCTACATGAAGCTACATGACCGTGAGGCGACAGGCGAGGGTTTCTATTAGTGTAGATATTTGATTATATGTGATAAGCTAAAAGTCCTAAATTTTTCATGGATCGTGTTTGATTTGTTTTCAGCAAATGATTATATTTTTTTGTGTTACTAATTTACGATACTACATTATTAATATATGGATGTATATCAATAATTATCTTGTTATGTTGATCTGCGATAGTATATCAGTGATATACTATTGCATATCATCATTGATATATAAGCCATATCAATTATCTACTTTCTTCCATCTTTGAGTTTGATCTATTATCCACATAACGGTTATATAAACTCGAAGAGAGACAAATTCTTCCTATTTGTAAATTATAAACCATCCACGTAACGGTTGTTTCCATTATAAGAAATGACAAGGTTAAACATCCTTATATCTACAAGATTAAATAATGTTTGTAAGTTATCACTAATATGGTTCATCAATGATATACACTAGTATATCATGATACAATATCGTAAATTAGAAACATGAAAATAGCATAATTATTTTCCCAAAACAAATTAAACTAGGTCCGTAAAACATTCTAGACACCTTAACTTATTACAAAAAATTAAATACCTAAAATAATAAAAATAAAAAATCTTGAACAATGAGAGAGTAATATGTGTTTTCTCTTAATAATTCAAATAAATTTTATAATCAATGATAACAAATAAATTATAGATTATGAACAAATAATTTATTAATTTAGTGAAAATATTACCCCAGATAAATGAAGATGATGAGATTTTGATGAAGGATAATACTCTTCAACTTCTAGAAATCAGAGCACAGGACAACTTCAATTCAAAGCTTGAACTACGCATGTAAAATGCCAAATCTGATGATGGAGTTTAATCTTCAATGTCAAATCTTGACTTAGTAATATACCTAGGAAAAATAGAAAGGAAGATAGGAGAATAGCATTAGGATATGAGACTTTCCTCCTCTACACGATGAAGGAATGACTGTGAACACAGGAAATAATTCAGTCAGTTAAAGATTAGTTACATGAGATATATTGTATGTCAATAATATATTTATTCTGAAGATAAAAAAAGAAAATTCACATCTAATTAATTTTATGAATGGGTCATATTCTAAAATATTTAAAAATATTATCTATAATTTATAAAAAATGTATTTTTTAAGGTCATTGAGCCAATTTACTCAAAATTATTTTAGTTATTTATAAAAACGAATGTTAAATAATTTCTTAAAGTACTACTCTTCCTTTTAGTTATGACTTATGAGAGAATATCAACAAAGGATCTTTAAAAAAAATTTAATATCTTACAAGAGTTCTTGACAAATTGGATACTTATTAAAATAGTAATTTTACCAATTAATTTGTTAATGTTTATTATAAATTATTTTAAAAAATTAAATTTCTTCTAAGGTCCTTCGTTGATATTCTCCGTTTAGTTATTTACATTTAAAACTATGACTTCAATATCATGTAGGAAAAATTATTTAGAAGTCTCATACAAAGATTTTAATGACCTTAAAGTCTCATAAAATATACAAATTACTGTCAAGTTTCAAATCCTATGCAATTATAACTTGACAAAAAAAATGATAATTTAACATGAGTTGTAATAGCATATGATTTAAAATTTAGGAGTATTTTATATATTTTGTGGGATCTCTTAATAATTAAAATCTTTACAAGGGACTTTAGAGTGATTTTTCCCATCATAAATTCATGTAAGAATAGTTCACACACAAATAGAAACTAGAAGCCATGATGATGATATCGGAAGCAATGATGAAATGCAAAGGCAGGGGCGTAGTGAACCCAAGGGGTTTTAGGGCTAAGGAGAAGAATGCAGAGTTGTTATATGAAGTGGTGTTTTATGTGTATTAATCAGCGTCCATGGTTTATATTTTCTAAGATAAATGAAGAAATTACTTCTTGAATTTTAAATCTAATAATATCATAGATCATAAAATTATTTATTATATAAATTATTGTCTCAACTTTTAAAAACACTAATCTTTGCTGTTAACAAAAAGTTATATTTGACTATTGATTAACCATAAAAAGACAAAAAAAAAAGACATAAAAATTATAAAAATGACAAATAAGGACAAAAAAAGATCAAAAAAATTGTTGGTCCTTTCTATAATTTTTTAGGTCTTTTTTTACCATTTTTTAATTAACTAACAGTCAAAATTAACTATTGTTAGTGGTAGAAGCCAAATTATACTATTTTTAAAAATTAAAAAATTTATTTGTACAATAAATGAGTTTAGAATCTATGATGCTACTGAACCTAAAGTGCAGTGAGTAATTTAGTCATTTATTTTATGTTCTACATCATTGTATTTGCCATTTCTTGCATGTTTAAGCTTTCAATGATATTTAATTTTGAATTTTTTATTGATAAGGGATAAATAAAACTTTTAATTTTTTTCAAATTCGCCTTACACATCTATGGTTCATCAAATTTTATTTTTATTAATTTAATCCCTTCTATTTTTTTAAATCATCACACTATTTTTTTTAGGTTTAAAAACAAAAATAGATGCTTAAATTAATCTTATATGTTAAATATGTTGATGATTTGATATGAACATATGTGGCTAGATGAGAACAATTTAACTTTTAGATTTGTTTATTTTTTTTTATCAATATAATCTTTTACGCTACATTTTAATTTTTCAGTTTTTTAAATTTTTTGAATCATGTTTTTTATTTTTTTATTATTTCCTAGATAATTACAGTATATTTTTTTCATTAATGCCTCCAACTCAATATTATGATATTCATGAATGGAAGTTAATAATATTATTTTAATTAATTTTAAATGATCAAATTAATAGAAATTAAACTTAACAGACGAAATTGATAATTAAAAAAATTTAAAAAAGCAATTACATTATCATGATAAAAATAATGTAATTTGAATCAAATAAAAAATAAAATAAAAAACAGAACACACCTATGAACAACTGAGTGTATGTGGTGTCCAATTGCGGAAAATCGGAGGTGGCATCGAACTTGGTTGGGGCCCGGGGGGGTGGGGATCCTTAAAGGCGGCTCAGGCAAGTTTGAATATTAATCCTACATTTATAGTCATAGTCATCGATGATCTCCCGTCACACTACACTTAACTGTGTTTATAAATGCATGCCTTTGTCGCCTCTCTTCATTCTCATCCCTGCAACTTCCACTATCTCATCCATCCATCGCGATGGCCATTCCCAAGCCCTTGAAGGTCTACTTTCTTCCATTCTTCGCACAAGGCCACTTGATTCCTTTCTCTCAATTCGCTAGGCTTTTTGCCGCACGTGGCGTCCACGTGACTATCATCACTACCCCATTCAATGCTCAGTTCCTTCAGAAATTCATCGACGAGGACAAAGGCTCCGGCCACCGCCTCGTCATCGACATTCACACCGTCACGTTCCCTTCCAAGAACGCTGATCTTCCTGAAGGAACGGAGAACTTCTTCAACGTTAAGGATGTTGAAACTGGTGTCAAGATGTACATCGCCGCCGCCTTGCTCCGATCACAAGTCGAGCCTTTCATCGAGCAAAACCCGCCCGACTGCATCGTCTCCGACTTCATCTTCACATGGACCGGCGACCTGGCCTCAAGTCTGGGAATCCCCAGGCTCACCTTCAACGCTTTCTGTACTTTCGCAGTTTGCATGATAGATGCTGTACACAAGCACTTCATTGATAAAGACTCTTCAGAATCTCTTGATGGCGATCATAAAACTGATCCATTTGGCGCTGTAACTAATAAACCTTCAGAATCTCACGATGATCATCAGTCGGATGATCCGTTTGTGGTTCCGGGTCTCCCCCACCCGATTTCCCTCACCCTCCAACCTCCGAGGAGGTTCTTTAAGGATCTCAAACGTGTACTAGACGCTGCTATGAAAACCAGCTACGGGCTCATCGTCAATAACTTCACTGATCTGGACTGTGAAGAGTACGTCGATTACTACCGGAAAATTAGTGGGCACAAGGTGTGGCACATCGGACCAGCTTCTCTGATGCTACAAAACACACTACCTCAAAAGAATCATCTTCTTCATCATCATCATCAACAAACAAGTGATGACGATCATGAATACATAACAACATGGCTCGACTCTAAGGAACCAAACTCTGTAGTGTTCATCGGATTTGGAAGCCTGTGTTATTTCCCTGATACTCAGCTCTTTGAGATAGCATGCGCGATGGAATCTTCTGGGCATTCCTTTATCTGGACGGTTCATAAGGAAGACGACGAAGGTAAGAAAGCATGGCTGCCAGAAGGGTTTGAAGAGAGAACGAAGAAGGAAAAGAAAGGGCTGATCCTAACGAAATGGGCCCCACAGGGGCTGATACTGAACCATCCGGCGACCGGAGGGTTTCTGTCGCACTGCGGATGGACGTCATTGACGGAGGCGGTGAGTGCAGGGGTTCCGTTGATGACGTGGCCGATGTTTGCGGAGCAGTTTTACAATGAGAAACTGGTAACGCAGGTGCACGGCTTTGGGGTCGAGGTGGGCGCAGAGGAGTGGACCCGCACGCCGTACGATGTGATGCAGAAGGTGGTGAGTAGGGTTAAGATTGAGAATGCTGTGAGGAGGTTAATGGACGGTGGAGATGAAGCCGATGAGGTGAGGAGGAAAGCCAGAGAGATGAGAGACAGAGCGAGAGAAGCCGTTGAAGAAGGTGGGTCCTCTCAGAGAAATTTAACGGCCCTGATTGAAGATCTTAGAGAACTTACTGTGAGTCGGATTCCACAGTAATTGTTGAGTTCAAATAATAGACTTGAGTCATGAATAAGTGGATTAAGATTCAGTAAGATTTACTTTATATATAAAATAAATGTTCGTTCTTCGTGCAATAGGTTGTGGGGTTTTTTTTTTTTGGCCAAAATAGGTTGTGGGGTTGAGATGTGATTGTTTCCTTGTATTTGTATTGCTGATTCAATTTTCCATATCTTGGCAAAATGCGTCGGGCATTGACTGACATTTGAGCACCGTTAATTTTCCAATATAAAAAGACTAACTCGTTAAATGAATCTAAATTGTTAATCATTGACCAAGTTTTTTTTTTTACATTATCCATGCCTTTGCTTGACCAATCAGTTGGTCGGATATTTATATTGAATTAATATGTAATTTAAATCCTAAAGTATAGATTTAAGGGTGATTTAAATCTTAAACTTTTATAATGTAAATTCTAAACCCTAAATAATTAAAGCTATATAATTTTGCCCCACCATCAAATTAAACTAAACACCCATTACTTTTTTAGAAAACAGCTTAATGTGTGATTTTTATTAAATTTTAATTTCCCTCCTTCTCCTACCTTCTTTTAAGAAAAATTACATATTAGGCTTTATTTTTTTAAAAAAAATAGATATTTGTTTTAATTTAATTGTTTAGAATTTAGAATGCACGTTATAAAGGTTTATGATTCAAATTACCTCTAAACTTATATTTCAGAGTTCAAATTACATCTTAATTCTATTTAAATTTTATGAATGTCCTACAGTTTTCACTCAATGCTACACTTTAGTGGTAGAATTTTATCAATATTTAAAAATTTATATTTGAACTTAAATAAATAAAATGATAAGTTAAACGACAATTTTATAAAGATGTATTTCAATATTATTTATAACCATATGAATTATTGAATTAAAATATATGACATGGGGAATATAAAAAAATATGATTGGGAAAAGGTAAAATTATGATTTAGTATTCTCTCTAATCTCATACAAATATCTCTATCAATTGATATATACTTTTCTCATTCAAAAATATAAGATATTTTTTTGAGAAGTTGAATGTTTAAAAATGTAAAGTATTTTTAATCTTTTGAGGTATAATCATTACCTTTTTTTTTTCAAAAGTGTCCCTATTAATAATGATTTTATATTTATTATGGGGTATTTAATAAGGGTAAATATAGAAAGATAGAATTAGTTAAAAAGTAGGTAATTACTTTATTGATGGGTGAAATTTAATTAAAAATGCCTTATATTTTTAATAAAGAGAGTATATAATAATAATAATAATAATTCTTAATTTCTGCATGTCATCCTAAGCCTCTCTACATCGTTCAAATTTTATTGGATGAGAAGATTTTAGAAGGCCATCGAGTACAAATCCATTAGTCAACTACCTTGGGATGTGTGAATGGTGAAAGAATTGTCAAAGAAGTATTCCAGACTTTGAACCATCATTGAACTTGTCTGGCATAGATTCAATTTAAAGAGTCTGTGTTTCAGGTGAACTTAGTTCAACCTATGGAACTACAAGCTGAAAAAGCTTAGGTGCAAGATATAAACTTGGGCAAAGAAAATATAATCTCTGGAATCAAAGCCTTCAAAGCTCCTATCTTTTATAAAGATTCACTCTTAGGCTACAATGACTGCTTTGGAATCCATGAGACTAGAGACACTAGGCATATCAATACCATACTTGCTACAGAGTTAGATAAGGAATGGAATCCATCCGAAACAACTAAAAAATTAATGGAGTGATTTCCAATGGTGCCAATCTCAGATCATGAATGGAAGAATATATGCCTTCCCTGGTGGTCGCCTTGGTGATAAATACTCTGGGCATCAAGTTGCATCCTAGATCTCTCAAGCCTAGACTTGCCAAAATATGGAGTTTAAAGGATTTTGAGCTTATTGATTTAGTCAACAATTATTATATAGTGCGAATAAAAAATCCTGAAGCCTATGAAAGAATCCTTAATAGTGGTCTAGAGACTATCTTCGATCATTGCATCCTAGTTCAGAGATGGACACCCCAATTCAATCCAAACACTAACTCTTTAGGCAAGGTAGCACTATAGGTTTGGTTATCTAACATCTCCATCCAATGTTATGATAAAGAAATACTTTGGAGAATGGGAAATTGCATCGGGAAAACCCTTAAGGTGGATGCAAACACCCTACTGAAGCAGAGACGAAAGATGCCATAGGAAAAATTGAACGAGGTAAATTCGCTAGAATCAGTGTTGATATAGATTTATAAAAGAAACTTGTCCCCAAACTCCTCATTAGAGATGAATTATATAATGTGGAATACGAAAGCTTAAGCTTAATTTGCTTCAGTTGTGGATGCTATGGACATAATAAGAATATTTGTCCATTTAATCCTAAGAACAATCAAGCAAAAATAAGGCAAGAAGATCTACACGCAGAACCTAATCAACATAATAATCAGACTGGAAATCAAGGGACCCTGATTAAACCTGTTAATCCCACTAACAGAAGGTCATCAGAAAGTACTCATTAACACTTACCGGCAGAAGATTGTGGTGAATGGATGAAGGTTTAACGGCCAAACCATACTCGATTCTTGAGGTTTACAATGGCTACAAATTCAGGCCACAAAGATCGATTACAGCACCTAAACCGAGGTACAAATTTCTCTAACAAATCTCTATTTTACCTCTTAGCTAACCTTGATTAGATCTGTGAAGATGGTGAGCAATATGAGGAGACTGGAAAGCAGAACGTTTCACCTACAAACCTAACTACATCTTCAAAGAGGACTGTCAAACAAATATGGCAGAAAAAAGATCTGTCTAGAACCAAGAGATCTCGATTGATGGAGAAAGAAGAAGCAAGGACGGCTCGCAATGATAACAAAACGGATGATAAAGGAAAAAAGAAAATTAACATGTCTGGACCAAGATTCGATTGGAGAGGCCTACAAATGCTCAATGCTGAAGCAATTAGGATCATGGAGACTAAGCCCAAAAATGCACAATTAAGGCCCAAAAAATGTGTCCATTCGGTAGTTAAAGGAAGCAAAAGGGATTTGGGCTCCTTTAAGCAACCCATGAATGATAATCCGCACCTTAAGCCCATAGATGATAAAATTTTTGGTCCTTCATTCAAACCTGATCCACAAGTTTGGAATAAGCTCAATATGCCAGATAAAAAACACGATAAATCAGCAAATCGTCCTCCTAATTCACATCTAATTCCTAGACATAGCAAGCCACTTGACCCTACTAATGCCACTCTAACTACCAGCTTCGTTCTAGTGACACAGTTCAACATTGATAAAGATATGAAAATTAATGACCAATTTTTATTACTGAAAAATGAAGAAGGCATAGACGACATGAATCTTATTGAGGAAAATGATGATGATGACCTCCTATCAGAAGACTTTAATCATACTCCTATAAATGAAGACCTGGAAAATGATGAGTTCAGTGATGACTTTATCTCTAAATCAAATAATTAATCTAGTTATCAGGTTCTTTTCTTCCTTCCCTAATTTATCTTTTAATTATGGAAATCATATGCTGGAATTGTAGAGGTACTTGCTCTAAAAGCTCTCCTTCATGAATTAGAGACATAACTAATAAGTTTAATACTCAAATTCTCATTCTTATTGAAATTAGAGCTAGTGGTTTTAGAGCTCATAATATTAGTAAAAAAACTTGGTTTCCCTGAATGAATTTGACACTGTTGTCGGATAGCACCAAAATTAATAAAAACTAAATTTTACAGTAAAGCGTAACCTATGTCGTCTCCCTAAAAGTCAATAGAGTAACTAGTTGAATTATAATTATGAAAAGGTAAATAATGGGGGCTTTTTTATGATGAAGTTAATTAAAAAAATATAAATTAAAATTAAATAAATAAAGAAAATTCAATTGAGAAAATTATTAATAATAAGGAGCGCAATCAATCACCACCCAATTATCTAAATTTAATCTTCCTTGTTCACAAATTAAATTAATTTTATTCAACTTTATTATTCTAGTTTTATTATATATATTTCTCAAATTATCATTCAAGAATTAAATAATAAATTAAGTTATAGATTAATTAAAGTCTCCCTCAACTTACAACCTAATAATTGTTTTAAGTTAGCCACACTAGAAATAAAGCATGGATAATCAGCCAGGCCAGGCCAAATTACTCTTAAATTACTATATCAATCAATTATAGTAAATAAAACCTCAGATAAAATTTATAACCCAAAAATTATGCAATAAAACTACTTTAATCAGTAATAGCACTTAAAGCATAAAATTTAAAGGTGGAGAGAAGGGAGCAAATTGAAATAAAGTTAAAATAAAATTTTTTTGAATATCAAAGACTCTGATTAAAATTTAGGATCATAGTTTATGATTAATCACACTAAAAATTTAACTCTCCATAGAACTAAAAATAGAACAATATAAGATGAGAAATTGACAAGCTATCGCTGGAGAAATTGAAGAAGAAGATGAAGCTGCCACCCTGTTTTCTCTTCTCTATCCAAATCATCCCCTTTTTTGTCTCTATTCTTCGTCTCTTGTGTAACATCCCAATTTAAATTTTAATAGATAATTTTGATTAATAGAAATTTTAAAAAAATATTTACAGGTAAACAAATTAGTAGGAAATGATTATTAAATCTAACTTAAGATATAATTCTAAATTAAAATTTAAAAAAAATTAATTAAAAAAATTAAAATTAATTAGTTAAAAAAATATTAAATTATTATTATTATTATTAAAAAAAAGGAAAAAGGTATAAAAAAACAAACAAACAAAAGAAAGAAGAGGAAGAGAAGCTTTCGGCGGGGAATGATTACCTATACATATAATAATAATAAAAAAAAGGAGAGAGGAAAGAGGAAAATTTAAAAAAAAATTGTGGGACCCACTCTTTATTTTAAAACCAACCTGCGTTTTTCATTTCTCTTCTCTCTTCTTCATTCTTTCTTGCGCGACATAGAGAGCGAAAACAGAGACGGCGAGCGCGACACCTGCGACATAGCTGATTTAGAAGGTGAAGCTCCATATTAGGATACTTCATATGAGATTTTAAGTATTCTAAGACTAGGTAAGTGTTCTAAAAATTTTTCTTAGTCATCCTTTCTCTTTGGTTTCTAATTTTGTGGTGGTAGAAAATTTAAGATCTGGAAGAGGGATGAATTTATGTTGAATAAATATGGTTTTGAGGTTGTTAGTAGTGTAATAAATATTTTAGAGTATTATTTTGTTGATAGAATTGGAATTTGAGGCATTTAAGTTTATTTTTAGATCCCTATGGGTAAATTTTTGGTTAGATCTGAAAATATAAATTGATTTGTTGATATTTAGATGATTGTTTGAGATAAGAAATAGATTATTATGGCTATAGAATAATGATTCTAGGCTTGAAATCAAGTTTGTAATTTTTTGGGTATTTTTATGTGCGAATTTTTGGAATAAAAAGAGAAATTTTAATATTAGAAAAATATTTGAATGAAATTATTGTGAAGGAGACTATTGAACCAAGTAGATAGGTTCAAATACATGAAATTAAATTTTAGAATTTAAAAGACTAAGACTAATTTCTTAAAAAAATAAATAAATAATAAATATAAAATAAAATAAAATAAATACTTAGGTTTTAGAGTATGAGTGAAAATTGTGTTAATAATATTATTGACACATTGGGATATGATCAATTGTAGATTAATTTTCTTTTGACACCATTCAAGCTTTGGAAAGCTTTGGAAGTGTTGTAACTTGAGGGGTAACCTTTGACCTCTTAAAGGTTGAGGTAACCGGGGAAAATCTATTTTATGCATTTGTATGTTAATTAATTAATTATGTTAGTGAAACAAAAGAATATATATATATATATATATAAATTTGAAATAATTGTTTGTAATACATGTGACTTTGTTGAGACTCTATGACTTGTGACTAAGTTAATTATGACTTGGTGTGAGTAATGAGATTGATGGTTGATGATTATGTATACACTCTTGGTTATAAGTTGTGGATTGTGCACAGTGATGAATTGTATGAGCATGTTGAGTTTTATATGATGTTAATGTAGTTTTGTATGATAATATAAAAATTGATGCAAGAGGCATGATTGAAATATGATGATTCTTGATGTTTGTATTATATTAATGAGCTAAAATATTTGTACAAGTAAAAAAATTAGTTATTATCATGCTTCCGCATATGTTTAATTGAATGATATGAATTCTTAAAATATTTTAAAAACTTGGGATCCCTTTGTATTAAATAGCTTGTGAAAAATACGTGTTAAGAATTCATTGAGGTTAATCTCGTATTGGATAATTCATTTCGGTTAATCCTTGATTAACCATGGTTAGTGTGATGATTAAGTCCTAATTTAGGACGCCCATTACAAATTGGTATCAGGTTCTCGAGTTTTGAGAACTGGACTGTGGTTTGTGTGTGACTTGTTATATGATTGTGTACTATATTATACTTGCATTTGCATATAGAATTGGCAATTATCATTATACACATATTCTTTTCCTCTATGAGCTAGCACTAACCATTTTTCATTTTTGGTATTACTCCCATCCTTAGGAGGGGAGAATATGATACTAACCAGGAACACTGCCGCTAATAATTTGGCAATTCCGCCAAGACTAGAGGATCAAGTGGTGGTGGAAGATGAAAGAGCACCGGTTCAAGTCCAACAAGGACAGGTGGTGCCAGAGTTACTAAACCCGACTGAGCAAGTTCAAGTCTTGACTCAAACAGGACCTTCTACACAAGCTCCAGTTCGAGCTATTCCTATGACTGGTAATAACAACGATGTAGCCCTCCTTACTTCTATATTGATGGACATCCATAAGAGGATGGATGTTTATGACCAAGTTATATTAGGGAAGGCTGCTGAGGGAAATAGCAAAGTCATTGTGAACGTTACTGGTAACCCTGAGGAGAAACAAGGGGAAGTGAATTTAGAAGTCAACAATCAACAAGAAGAAGAGTCTTTTAAGGATTTTGAACAAAGTGATCAAAGTAACTCTGTGAGGCAGAGGAAAAGGAAAAATAAAGGCAAAAAGAAAGTAGAAGAGGTTACCATTGACCATGCATTCAAGAGGTTTGCAAGATTGAACCCGCCATCATTTGAGGGTTCTATGGTAGACCAAGCTGGCGAGAAATGGATTGATGAATTAGAGTCCATTTTCTCTGTGATGACTTGCACTACTAAACAACAGGTCCGATTAGCTACTTTCAAGCTTGAAGATGCAGAAAAATAATGGTGGGAAAGTGTTAAGCCTAATGATGGGTCTGAATTGACTTAGGAGCAATTTAAGAAGAGGTTCTTTGCCCACTACTTCCCGCCAACTGTAAGGGCAGCAAAAGAAGCTGAGTTCCATAACTTAAGACAAGGCAATATGGATGTTGAAGAGTTCATAGCCAAATTCAATGAGCTCTCTAAATATTCCTTGTACTTGAGGAGTAATGCTGATGAAGAATGGAAGTGTGAGCAATTTCTAGACAAGATGAGACCTGAGTATAGCAGGCAACTGGCAGCTCATGATATTGATTCATTTAAAGTCATGTGTAATAAGTTCAGGGTTGTTGCTAGAAGAAGCTAGATGAATGACGGTAACCGACGAGATGGCCAAGGCGGATATTCCTCTTTTATGGGCCCCACTGGGGGTGTGAGCAAGAAGTCAACTTATAGCTCGGGATTCTCTAAGGGTTACAGTGGAGGTGGAGGAAGCAGTAAGAAGAATTTCTCCAAGGAATCACAATCTAGATGATCCCAAACCAAGAGCTTCCATTTTAAGAGCTTTGGAGGCTGGAGCCAAGCTTCAAGGCAAAACTCAACTTCATCAATCATGGGACCACCAGTAAGATGACCGTATTGTGATAAATGTAGAAGATTCCACGTCGAAGACTGGTGGGCATGCTATAAATGTAACAAGATGGGTCATATCGCCCGTAATTGCCCAGAGGCTATGTCTGATGGGAGATCTGTTATTCCTGCTCGTGTCTTCGCGATGTCTAAAGAGGAAGCAGAAGCTTCTCCAAAATTGATCAAAGGTATGATTGTCCTTAACGACAAACAAGTAGAAGCATTATTTGATTCAGGTGCTATGCATTCTTTCATTGCACTAGATTGTATGACTAGACTTAAAATGTTTGCATGTGAAATGGGTGTTGTTATGAATGTTTCTACGTCGACTGGGGTCTCTACTAAAACCAGTCGTGTGTGCTCTAATGTTAACCTGAAGTTTGGTGATAGGGTTACAATTATTGACTTAATTTATTTGCCTTTATTGGGCATTGATGTGATTGTGGGAATGGACTGGCTGTCGGCTAATGGAGCGACTTTAGACTGTAACAAGAAGACAGTCCTATTGCCAGTAGATACTACCATTTCTACAGCCCCTGAAATGACTGTGCGTACCATTATGGTAGACATAGAAATGCCTAAGTTCTTGTCTGCTATGGAAGTTAAGAAGTCAGATCAAGAAGGATGCCAAATGTTCATGGTGTTCTGTTCAGTGCAAGGAGACAAAGAATAAAAGATTGATCAGATAAAAGTAGTGAAAGAATTTCCTGAGGTTTTTGCAGAAGATGTGAATGGTTTGCCACCAGAGAGAGAAGTTGAATTCTCAATTGATTTAGCTCCAGGTACCGAGCCAATTTCTAAGGCTCCGTATCGAATGGCCCCTGCAGAATTAGAAGAGTTAAAGAAGCAACTAGAAGACTTGTTAGCTAAGGGCTTCATAAGACCGAGTGTATCACCATAGGGATCACCAGTTCTCTTTGTGAAAAAGAAAGATGGGAGTATGCGATTGTGTATTGACTACCACCAGCTTAACAAGGTGACAATCAAAAACAAATATCCGTTGCCATGGATTGATGATCTCTTAGATCAGTTGGCTGAAGCGGTGGTATTCTCAAAAATTGACTTGAGGTCTGGGTATCATCAGTTGAGGGTAAAGGTAGAGGATGTACCTAAGACGGCTTTCAGAACAAGGTATGGGCACTATGAATTCCTAGTTATGCCATTTAGGCTAACAAATGCACCGGCAATATTCATGGACTATATGAATAGAATCTTCAGTCCGTACCTAGATAAATTTGTTGTTATCTTTATTGATGACATTCTGATCTACTTGAAGAGTGAAATAAAGCATGAAGAGCATTTGAGATTAGTGCTACAGATTTTGAAAGGGAGACAACTTTATGCCAAGTTGAGTAAATGTGAGTTTTAGCTTAATGAAGTGAAGTTTTAGGGCATGTTATTTCTGAGGAAGGTATTGCAGTTGATCCTCACAAGGTTGATGCCGTGTTGAAATAGGAACGACCGACCTCAGTATCAGAAATCAGAAGTTTCTTGGGGTTGGCCGGCTATTATAGGAGGTTTATTGAAGGGTTTTCTGAAATAGCATCAGCGTTGACTAAATTGACCAGGAAAGACAAACCTTTTTTGTGGACCAAAGAGTGTGAAGAAGCTTTTATCACCTTGAGAAAGAAGTTGACTACTGCACCTGCCTTAACTATCCCTGATCCTAAGCAATTATTTGATGTTTATATAGATGCATCGCTTAAGGGTCTTGGATGTGTTCTCATGCAAGATGGCAAAGTTGTAGCCTATGCATCGAGACAATTGAGGCCTCACGAAATGAACTACCCCACTCACGATCTAGAGCTAGCAGCTATTGTCTTCGCTCTTAAGATCTGGAGACATTACCTCTATGGTGCACGATTTGAAATGTTTAGCGATCATAAAAGTCTTAAATATTTGGTAGACCAGAAAGAGCTAAATATGAGGCAAAGAAAATGGATGAAATTCTTAAAAGACTATGAGTTTGAACTGAAGTACCATCCAGGGAAGGCCAATGTAGTGGCCGATGCCTTGAGCAGAAAGACTGTGCATGTGGCTTATATGATGATTCATAAACAAAAGTTATTGGAAGATTTCTCTAGTTTTCCACAAAATATCCCAGATTATGCTATGTTCAATTTGAACACTACGGTGCTTACAATTGAATTTTAGGATAAGTTGCGAGCAGCTCAGTTTAAAGATCCATACTTGTTAGAAGTTCGAAAGAACTTAGACGAGAAGATGATTGGCACAGATTTCACTTTTGATAATAATGGTCTTGTAGTCTACAATGGGAGGGTTTGTGTTCCTGATATGAAAGTGTTGAAGGACACAATTCTTGCTGAAGCTCATAGAAGCAAATTCACCATCCACCCCGGAGCAACCAAGACGTATCAAGACATGAAGCGGTACTGGTGGTGGCATGGTCTGAAGCGTGATGTGACGGAGTATGTGAGCAAGTGTCTAACTTGTCAGAGGGTGAAAATAGAGCATCAGAGGCCTGGCGGTTTATTGCAGCCGTTAGAAATTCCAACCTGGAAGTGGGAAAGTATTTCCATGGACTTTATTATGGGTTTGCCTAAAACACAGGCAAGGTACGATGCAATATGGGTCATTGTTGATAGATTGACAAAGTCAGCCCATTTTCTACCTATCAGAGAAGGTTATACCATGGATAAATTTACGGAACTGTATATCCAAGAGATTGTGCGATTACATGGAGTGCCTAAGGATATGGTTTCAGATCGTGATCCAAGGTTCACCTCGAACTTTTGGAAGGTAATGAATGATGCTATGGGTACTTAATTGAAGTTCAGTACAGCATATCATCCACAGACTAATGGTCAAACTAAAAGAACGAATCAAACACTTGAAGATATGTTACGCACATATGCACTTGAGTGGACAGGCAGTTGGGACAAACATCTACCATTAGCAGAATTTGCCTACAACAACAGTTATCATTCAAGTATTCATATGGCTCCATATGAGGCGTTATATAGTAGAAAGTGTAGATCTCCACTTTGTTGGACCGAGTTGAGTGAAAGAAGCATTATAGGTCCAGATATTGTTGACCAAACCACTCAAAAAATTGAGATAATCTGACAAAAATTATTGACTGCCCAGAGTCGACAGAAGAGCTATGCAAATAGGCGACGAAGACCTTTGACTTTTGAGGTAGGTGACCATGTGTTTTTGAAAGTATCACCAATGACAGGCATTGGGAGGTCAATAAAAGCTAAGAAATTGACTCCTAGATTCATCGGTCCTTTTCAAATCCTACAAAAACTTGGGACTTTGGCCTATCAAATTGCCTTGCCACCTCATTTGTCAGGAGTTCATGATGTATTTCATGTCTCTCAATTAAAGAAATATCAACCCGATCCGTCTCATATAATAGAACCTGAAGAGGTTGAGCTAAGGGAGAACATGACCTATCGAGTGGAACCAGAAAGAATTGTGGATGTAAGGGAAAAGCAATTGAGAAATAAGACCATTCGCCTCGTGAAGGTATTCTGGAAAGGAATGGCCCCTGGTAATGCAACCTGGGAAACTGAGGAGAAGATGAAACATTCCTATCCTCATTTGTTTGAGCAAGGTATGTTCCCTATGATTATTCGAATTTTGGGAACAAAATTCCTATTAGGAGGGGAGAATTGTAACATTCCAATTTAAATTTTAATAGTTAATTTGGATTAATAGAAATTTTAAAAAAATATTTAGAGATAAACAAATTAGTAGGAGATGATTATTAAATCTAACTTAAGATATAATTCTAAATTAAAATTTAAAAAAATTAATTAAAAAAAAATTAAAATTAATTAATTAATTAAAAAAACTATTAAATTATTATTATTATTAATATTAAAAAAATGAAAAAGGTATAAACAAACAAACAAACAAAAGAAAGAAGAGGAAGAGAAGCTTTCGGCGGGGAATGATTACCTATACATATAATAATAATAAAAAAAAAAGGAGAGAGGAAAGAGGAAAATTTAAAAAAAAAATTGTGGGACCCACTCTTTATTTTAAAACCAACCTGTGTTTTTCATTTCTCTCCTCTCTTCTTCATTCTTTCTTGCGCGACACAGAGAGTGAAAACAGAGATGGCAAGCGCGACACCTGCGACATAGCTGATTTAGAAGGTGAAGCTCCATATTAGGATACTTCATATGAGATTTTAAGTATTCTAAGACTAGGTAAGTGTTCTAAAAATTTTTCTTAGTCATCCTTTCTCTTTGGTTTCTAATTTTGTGGTGGTAGAAAATTTAAGATCTGGAAGAGGGATGAATTTATGTTGAATAAATATGGTTTTGAGGTTGTTAGTAGTGTAATAAATATTTTAGAGTATTATTTTGTTGATAGAATTGGAATTTGAGGCATTTAAGTTTATTTTTAGATCCCTATGGGTAGATTTTTGATTAGATCTGAAAATATAAATTGATTTGTTGATATTTAGATGATTGTTTGAGATAAGAAATAGATTATTATGGCTATAGAATAATGATTCTAGGTTTGAAATCAAGTTTGTAATTTTTTGGGTATTTTTATGTGCGAATTTTTGGAATAAAAAAAGAAATTTTAATATTAGAAAAATATTTGAATGAAATTATTGTGAAGGAGACTATTGAACTAAGTAGATAGGTTCAAATACATGAAATTAAATTTTAGAATTTAAGAGACTAAGACTAATTTCTTAAAAATAAATAAATAAATAATAAATATAAAATAAAATAAAATAAATACTTAGGTTTTAGAGTATGAGTGAAAATTGTGTTAATAATATTATTGACACATTAGGATATGATTAATTGTAGATTAATTTTCTTTTGACACCATTTTGGAAAGCTTTGGAAATGTTGTAACTTGAGGGGTAACCTTTGACCTCTCAAAGGTTAAGGTAACCAAGAAAAATCTATTTTATTCATTTGTATGTTAATTAATTAATTATGTTAGTGAAACAAAAGAATATATATATATATATATATATAAAATTTGAAATAATTGTTTGTAATACATGTGACTTTGTTGAGACTTTATGACTTGTGACCAAGTTAATTATGACTTGGTGTGAGTAATGAGATTGATGGTTGATGATTATGTATACACTCTTAGTTATAAGTTGTGGATTGTGCACAGTGATGAAGTGTATGAGCATGTTGAGTTTTATATGATGCTAATGTAGTTTTGTATGATAATATAAAAATTGATACAAGAGGCATGATTGAAATATGATGATTCTTGATGTTTGTATTATATTAATGGGCCAAAATATTTGTGCAAGTAAAAAAAATTAGTTATTATCATGCTTCCGCATATGTTTAATTGAATGATATGAATTCTTAAAATATTTTAAAAACTTGAGATCCCTTTGTATTAAATAGCTTGTGAAAAATACGTGTTAAAAATTCATTGAGGTTAATCTCGTATTGGATAATCCATTTTGATTAATCCTTGATTAACCATGGTTAGTGTGATGATTAAGTCCTAATTTAGGACGCCCATTACATCTTGCGCGGCTCTCTATATATAATATAAACGGACTTCCATTTGCGTACGTCCAAAAGAAAAACTAATAATAAAAATGATAAAACTACTCTAAGTGACTCTAATTGAAAACTATACTAAATAACCCAAAATAAATTCAAACAAAATTTTAAAGATTTGATTCTTGATTTAATCTCTAAGCATGCCCATATTCTTCTTATTCAAAATATTCTCTATCAATATCTTCTAAATTGAATCTAAAAAATCTGCACAAATAAAATAAAATTAAATAGCACCTGTGCAAAAATATTAAAGATATTATTTATATTTTAAAATCAAATATTTAGTTAGTTAAAATTTTAAAACTAAATATTGGCTAATAGAATCAAATAGTATCTACTTAAACTCAATTAGCCTCAAATAAATATTTAAAAGTCTAAATTAAAAGGATAAAAATATATAAAATTGCTATTTATCAGGATTCGTTTAGAAGCTACTAGCTATGCAGGTGGTATTTAGTTGCTTATAATAATGATGAGATCAATATTGACTATATCTATTCCAATGTTTAACTCCTTTATTGTAAAGTTAATCACATCTTAAAGAAAACATCCTACCTCCTATTTTGTATTTATGGTGATCCTAATCCTTGCAATCGAGACCAACTTTGGAATTTTATTAATAATCTTGCTTTTACCATTACTAACCCTTGGCTCATTATGGGGGACTTCAATTCCTACCTTTCTTGTGATGATAAGAATAGTGGAAGTGTAACAATCTTGAGTTTTAATTCCTTGATTAATTAAATCTAATTAGGGTAATTAAATAAATTAAAGTGGTGTATGGCCAGAGAGGTCTAATAATCATGTTTGATGCTATTTTAGCCCTAGTTATGGGTTTGGTATCGAGGCAGACTAACCGGGCATCGAAAGGAGAACAAAAGGAAGAGTTGAAGTTATTGTGCCACACGTCAAGGCGCATAGATCGTCTGTCGTGGCGTACAGCCATTTCTAAGTAAGGGAGGACCTCTGTGCTATGCGTCACGGCGCATTGTGCATCCGTCGTGGTGTATGGCTATTTTCTATACTTTATCAGACGAGAAATGAGATAGAAAAAGAAAGAAGAGAAAAGAGAGAAAGAAGAGGCGCACCAAAGCTCTGCTAAGGTTTACTTAGGAGCCACTTTAAGAGTATTTTGAAGGCTACAAACACCCAAGGTAAGTATCATACTTATTAATCTCTCCATTTCTTCCATATTTATAAGTGTATGATTAGGGTTTGATAGTAGAAGTGGGATTTCAATCTATATAGATTATGGGTCTAAATTTTTTGACTCAAATGGAGTTAATGAGGGTAGATTAGAGTATTTAAACCTAAGTATGATGATTTTTAGTGTCTTGAGTTGTTGGGCATAATAAATGTCCAAAAATTCCATTTATTATGGGTGGTTGAAAGTTTGTGATGCCATTAACAGGGATTTAATGGCTCATTAATGCTATTGGAAGCTAAAGATAACCATTAAACCTAATGATTAGGCTCCACCTCTTGTAAAGTGAAGGTTGGGCAATTTAGAAGTAGAGATTGAGGGTTTAAATGTTTGAGTTTGTTATGTTGATGGAATTCAACTTGGTTGATTGTAGTTTTGGCTCTTGGTCACCTATTGAAGTGGAAATTCAAACTTGCAAGTTTATTGATTGAGGGATAAACCTTTGACCTCTTAAAGGTTTGAAGTAACTGGAAAAAACTCTACTTTGGATAGTTGTATGTTAATTAATGGTTAATTGGTTGTTGAATGTGAGATTATGAATGTTACATGCATGGAATTGATTGTTAAAGTAAAAACTATATGTTAGTTTCATTGAGCACATGAAAAAGCTATTCTTGGCTTGAAAATGCTTATACTTTTAAAAGATGAATATGATGATGTGTAAGGGTATTTGTATGTCAGTGATCAAATGTATTTGAAAAAATAATGAGAATACACACTTGGGTAGCGCAAGGTCGTGAACCCAACGTGGTGGTTGTAATAGTGAGTAAATGAAAGCGAAAAAAATAAACTCAAGTGTGTAATGATTATGGCATGATCAATGGCAGGAGTTTGCCTAGGGATTGTGAGTAGAGAAAAAAATCCATATGATAATTAGGCTGCCTTTCAATGCACGGGGGCTATAACCTTGTCCCATTGTTTGTTGAGAGACTGTCCCGTAGTTTGTCGAGGGACTAAAATCTAACTATCTCCACTAGTTCAATGAGGAGAATAGCCTAGGTTATAAGACACCCTAAGGATTTAAAAATGAGGGAAGTTGTGGTTCGAGAGTGAGTTTTGTGATCTTTAGCTAGGTTATACCTCACAATTGATGAGCTTGGGTAGTCCAGTCACACGAATGGAGCCCTAATCAGTGTTATAGCCCACAATTTTAGTCTGAAGAAATAAGGAGGATATAAGGTTGGTTGATCATTACCTAAGTAAATATATGACGTGTCACATGTACTAAATAGTGGCAGGTCGTGAGAGTAGGGGTCATGTCACATATATGAGATATGGTGACAATGTACCTAATTACGTGAGTTAAATAAGCTATATAGTAATAAATGGTAAATTATGATACATGTGAGTTTGATTTGCATATTTGCTCTCCTTGTGCATATATTTGTTTTATAAGTTATATACAACTGCATAGGATAAGGTTAATCTTAGTTATTGAGTGGCTAGACTCACCCCTCTTATTTAATACTTTTCAGGCTCTAGCTCTGGCGTTGAGAAGGAGAAGACTAAAGAGGCAGAGAATTAGCATATTCATACTGTATGCCTCTAGTTTAGCTTTAATTGTATAATAGTATATGGCTTGCCAATTCTAGAATGCATATTACCTCACTTGAATTATTTTGGTTGTTGAAAATGTTAGAATTGTATTTTGGGCCCTTAGCCTTTGTGTATATTGACATATATATGTTTATAGGGCTAAAATACTAGTACAAGTGTAAAAATAAAGATTTAAGCATGTTTTGAATGATTTGAGTTAAATGCAATGGCAAATTACCTCCTCCTTTATTTTTAATAAATTGGGGTTGAGGAGTGAATTTTAGTTATACTAATGTTTTGATGCTTGTGACATGTTATACTGGTAGTCCCGGGTCCATTGGATATGGTCCAGGTGTTAGAAAAAACTTTTGGCACTTGTTGAGGATTTTAAACACTCATTTTGTGTAAAAGTATTAAAAAGTGATTAAAATGTGTTTGGGTGTCCAACTTCCTAGTGTAACTTGTTTTGAAAGTAAAACTCATGTCATTAGTTAGTACAGGAAAAGAGCTTTCCATAGATACCTAGATCACATCATTCAGATGTCGGACGGAGAATCAGGGCGAGTCAGAAGTTCCCTCGATTCTGCAGTCAAATGATAGCAGAACCAATGAAATTTCGTGCAACACGCTACAGTGCATGGTGCCTGAACCACGACGCGTGGCACAAAGAGCAACACACTGTAGCGCAGAGTGCGTCCGCCACGGTGCATTGCCCTATATTTTAGTACATAATTTATTTCAACCGTTTTCGACTTCTTTTACTCCTTTAAGGTATCTCATGCTTCTAAAACTTATCCTTACTCTGATATGAAAGATTTTGATCGATTTTAACTTGTTTCTATTTAGAAAACTTAGGATTCCTTACTTTTGAATTAAACCTTGGTAATCACTTTTTAAGCTAATCCTCTGATTACCATGAGTTTCTTTTATTAATTACAATTAGTGGAGTGAGAATGTTATAGGAAGTGATTATAATTGAAGGTCTATGAAACTTTTTAGACAATGCATCAACTCCTTCAAACTTCTTAAACTTAATTTTGCTGGAGATACATTCACTTGGGAGAAAGGCAACACTAAAGAAAGACTTGATTAGTCCTTCTGTAATGTTGAATGGAGACTCAAATTCAACCAAGTGAACATGTATCATCTCCTTGAATATGGCTCAGATCATTGTCCTATCAGCATTCAACTTGAAAATTCACCTAATTCTACTCTTCATGAAAAACCTTTCAAATGTCATGCTACTTGGATAATCAAAGATTCTTTCCAAACTATAGTAAAAGATGCATGGAAAAATCAAGAGTGGAAACAAGGTGCTTCAAGATTTACTACCTCTACAACTTCATGAAACAAAAACTATTTAGGTAGTATCTCAGCTAATAAGAAAAGGATTTTAAGAAGACTTAAAGGAATTGATCGTAATAGGAACTCAAATGACAGTTACTTCCTTAGGAAACTTGAAAAGTCTCTTTGGGAAGACTACAATAAACTCTTCTTCAAGAAGAACTTATTTGATTTCAAAATTCTAGATGCAAATGGTTGAAATGGGGAGATAGGAATTCTAAATTCTTTCATACAACTGCCATCATCAAGAGGAAAAAAAAATCAAATATTATCTATTCAAGACGAAAATGGTAACTGGATTCATGATCATTCTGCTCTTAAGAACCAAGCTGTCTCTTACTTTGGGAAACTCTTTTGTGAAGATACTTATCCTAAGCCAAAATTGTTAACTGATAGGAGCTTTCCACCTCTGTCCCCTATTCAATTAAAGTCTATCCACATAGAAGTAATTGAGGAAGAAATAAACATGCTGCTTTTAACATTGGTGCTTTTAAGGCTCTTAGGCTTGATGGCCTCAATGTTGGATTCATTCAATGTTATTGGAATGATCTTAGAGATAGCGTCAACTAACTTGTAAAGAGGATTTTCATTGATCCTAATATCATCAGTGAAATTAATGATACCTTCATCACTTTTATCCCTAAAATCGATAACCCATCTAGTATGAAGGATTTTCATCCGATATCTTTATGCAATGTGAGCTATAAAATTATAACTAAGATATACTCCAACAGGCTTTAACAATGTATGAATCTCTTAATTGGAGACAACCAATGTAGCTTCTTATAAGGTAGACAAAGTAGTGACAATATCATTATTGCTTAAGAAATCATTCACTCTATGAGAAATAAAACTGGGAAAAAGGGCTTCATGGCACTCAAATTTGACCTTGAAAAAGCTTTTGACAGACTTTCATGGGACTTTATTGATGATAATCTTCACATTATTGGTTTCAATGAAAAATTCAGAAAACTCATTATGACAGTAGTCTCCTCCACTCGTATGAAAGTCCTTTGGAATGGTGAACCCATTGAGGAATTCACCCCATCATGTGGCATAAGACAGGGAGATCCTCTTTCACCTTATCTCTTTGTTCTTTGTATTGAATGTTTAAGTCATATCATTTATAGCAGTATTGATAAGAAAGATTGAAAACCCATTAGCCTTACAACTAATGGACCTCCTATCTCCTATCTATTTTTTGCTGATGATTTGTTTCTTTTTACAGAATCATCCCTCAAACAAGCCAAGATTATCCAACAATGTCTCACTGATTTCTGTAAAGCTTTTGGGCAAAAAGTCAATAATACCAAATCCAAGCTCTTTTGCTCAAAAAAATGTTAATTTCAACAGGGTGACTCAACTTAGTAAGGAATTGAGAATTCCCCTGACCAGCAACCTTGAAAAACATCTTAGGATTCCCATCATTCACGAAAGAGTTTCAAAACTCACTTTTGCTCCTCTAATTGATAAAATCAATTCTCGTATCTCTAATTGAAAAAGTCATTTCCTTAACACAGCTGGGAAAGTGGTGCTTATAAAATATGTTCTCTCTTCTATTCCTAGCTATGTTATGCAAACCATGCTTTTACCTGATAATATTCTTACAGATCAAGAAGGTATTGGCATCAAAAAGCTTAAAAGCCGTAATATAGCCTACATTATGAAGCTCTATTAGGGAATCATTATAAAGCCTAATTGCCTATGGGTTCATGTCTTGTGTGATAAATACAAATGCAATAGCCCTATTACTCCTATGGTTGTTAAAACCAACTCTTGTTCTTACACATGGACCAGTATATGCAAAGTATGGGACCAATTCATATCCCATGTGGGTTGAAAGGTAGGAAAGGGGGATCACATTTCTTTCTGGTAAGACAAATAGTGCCCCCTTCCTGAACCCCTTGTTAATTATGCATCTCCTAAAGTAGACTCGATTTTACATGCTAAAGTCTCTGATTTCTGTTCTACCTCAGGAAAATGGAATGTTGATCAATTAAGCAGATATCTCCACCTAGATGTCATTAAACATATCATCATTATCCAACCTCCAAACGCCAATGCTGACATTAATGCTATTTGTTAGAGACCTTCAAATGATGGTAACTTTACCATCAAATCTGCTTTTAAGGCTATTAATAACCACTATACAGTCCTCATTCTAAGATTTGGCTGAGAATTTGGAAATGGCCAATGTATGAGAAGATCAAGACCTTTCTTTAGAAAGTAGCCTGGGATCGTCTTCAACCTAAATTTATCCACTCCAATGATAGCCATACCTTTTTTAGACCATGCCCATTTGGCTGCAACTCCTTAGATTCAACCGCTCATATCCTGAGAGATTGCAAGACTTCTAAAAAGGTTTGGATAAAACTTGTTAAACAATCAAAACTTAACACTTTCTTTTCTCTTCCTCTACAAGATTAGATAGTTTGGAATGCTGATCACGATGCGGGAATGCTTGTTCAAGAAAGATCCTATGGCAAAAATTATTTGCTCATGTTTGTTAGAATATCTGGAAAGACGGATGCAAAATCATTTACTCTACAGAAGATAATCCTAAGAGAGACATCACTTTTATTAGCATCCAAGATGTTCTCAATAATCTACGTCTTCAATCTAAAATCAATTTTTTGAACCAACAAGGTGATAGAACAAATGCTAAATGGCTATGCCCTAGAGAAAGATGGGTTAGACTTAATATCGATGGCTTAGTTAATAATCAAGGTGCTTCTTCTTACGGTAGGCTCATAAGAGATGAACATGGGAATTAGATCAAAGGATTCTCTAAGTATCGTGGTTACCATCCATGTACGAGAGCTGAGCTTTTGGGAATATTGGAAGGACTTAACATTTGTTGGGGAAAGAAGATAGACAAAGTTCATGTCTACTCTAACTCTATGGAAGCCCTTACGTTAAGAGTTCTCTACTAATCATCTGCTAATTGCTACCATCAACAATATTAGAAATCTCGTTATGAGAGATTGAATAGTCACTTTTGATCATGTCTTTATGGAGGCAAACAAATGCACAAACTGGTTGGCTTATCAAGCTCCTATCGAAAATTTTAATGTTCAAATCTTTGACACTCCTTCCCTAGCATGTAGGGATTTTTTGTACGTTGACATGACATAACATGCCTGCACGGTATCCACATGGCCTTTTTATTCAAAAAAAAAAGAGTCTATGTTTCATTATATAGATAGGCTACCAACATCCAAAGCCCATTATAATTATCATCTTAGGCAGTTTTTTTTTTTTTTGCAAAACATAATCTTAGGCCTCTGAAGACCAACTTTCCACTCCACTAGGCCCAAGCCCTTATCATGTAGGAGAGGCTCACTCACACCTAGGGAAGAGCAAATTTGGTGACCTAAAAAAAAAGGCAAGAGTAAATTTTTTTTTACTACATTATTTTTAGGGAGAATGGCAAAGATGTCTTTTTTAGAAGGATTGATTAATTCAACCTAGGTTTTAAGTGCCAAATTTTAAGAATTTATAAGTTTGGTTCTCAATTTTACAACTTTGTTGTAATAAATTTTTAACTTATGTTTCAAATTTTAACATGATTGAAAAATAAATAAATTTATTTTTCGTGTTAAAATTTGGAACACGAGTTACAAATTTATCACAACATAATTATAAAATTGAGAGCTGAACCTATAAATTCTCAAAATTTGGCACTTGAGATTTAAGTTAAAAGGGACCTCTCTGTTATTCTCCCTTATTTTTTTGGTGAAAAACACAAAATATGTTATAAGAACAAGAATGGAAAAGAGTTCACCAAGCATAGAAGGTCACTAACAAAGATTTGGCCTATAACTTACAAAATTATGGGATTAAACCTTCGATTGATGTAAAAAATTGTTGGTGAACAATTTGTAAGTACTTATGCACGTGTTTTTTTGAGCTTGCAAGTATGTCCTAGCTCCAATGAGCTCCTAACATCCAACTCTCTCTCTCTCTCTCTCTCTCACACCCCCAAAAATCCCAAGCCCAATCACTTTACTGCAAAACATAAAACACCACAATCACCGACCCCTTGACCCAAAAAAAAGAAAAGGAAGTCAGGAAAAAGAACTCTAGTAATAATGCTAAAGACAAAGGATGGGCCACTTTATTTGTTAATTACATCAAGGGGGCGCTTGATTTAATTAGTTGAAGGAGTTGAATCAATTCATCCTAGGATCTCAAGTTTGAATTTTGAGATATGTAATTGTATTAAATAAATATATTAAAAGTATTCCTGAACTACTTATGAGGTAGCTATTGGTAATAATAGTCCTACACAATGAGAGTTCATGTTAATCTAAGCGAGAGATGATAATACCCATCTTTCCTAGGCTAACAGGAGGTAAAATAAAAAACTAGTAGTAAATTATTTTAGAGATTTCCATTTGACTTGCCAGAATCTAACTTGTATGTGTTTGTGATCAGGGGCGAAGCTAAAAATTTTAATTAGGGGCTGAAATTACAAAGTAAAAGGCTAAAAGCATTCATGTAAGGAATTTCAATAAATTAGATATTTAAAGAATAAGTAACTTTTTTTCTAGAAAACTTCCCAACCTTAATTTTTCAATTTTTGAATAAGTAATCTTGTCATTGTTATCAAACACAAAACATTCAATGTATGTTGAGATTTTTGTGCAATACTTGACATAATTTGCTAGTAATTCTTATAATTTTTTTCATTAAATGTAAAGTAAAAGCAAAATCAAATGATTTCAATGTTTTACGAGCACATGTAGCTATACCTCATTGAAAATAAATAGATCATGTGACAACTATATCTTTCAGAATTAAAGCAGTTGCACTATATATGCATAAAAAATTGTATATATAATTGAAATGAGAATATCATCTAGTATTTTTATACTACTATAATGTGCTAACTTAACCCCTTTCTGTTGGAATCTCATCATTTTCAACCAAAAGGGCAATTTGAAATGCAAAAATGTCTTGTAATTCATTATTGTTATTACAAGAAGAACACACAAAATGAACAAATATATTCAAGTTTTGAAATAAGGAATGTACATAAACTATTTCTTTACTTGCAGCAACAAGAGTTATTTATAATTGATGAACTAAACAGTACATGTATTTGATTTTTAAGAGAGGCCGAACATATATACCTCTTTCATTTTATTTAGAAAAAAATATTAAGAAGTTAGGGGGGTTGTCCCCCTGTTTCCATCACTGTTTATGATTTCATTGAAGAAACCTTGTCCTATGACTTCCTTAGTTCTTATTTTTATTTTTAATTGTGTACAAGATATTAAAAACTAGACCAATGATTTAAGTAATTATGATATTGATTCAATTGTTAGTAATTAAAACTGCAGTTAAATCATGGTCAAACTAGTATGATCAAAGCATTTCATTGAACAAATAAATACATTGGTTCAACGTTTTATCTTTCTAACTAGCCGGGTTAACTTTAGATTTACACTTGATCTTAGCCAAAAGACTAAAAATGGTATAACTTATATTTCAATACTGTGGATATGTATTTAACTTGAACGCCCCTCTCTCATAAAATTTAACCTTGATTTATCATTAAGTGAAAACTCATCAATTTTACTAGACTCAATGACGCTTTAATATACTCAAATCCAGATTCACCGTCCGAAATTATGAGATCAAGATACAAACCATCGTATCTCCGACTGATTCAACCTGGCATATATAATTACAAAGTAAAATTAAAAAAGATAGAATGTGAAAAGAAGAGAAGATCCCAGTTGATGGCAAAATTATTGGTGGGGACAACTATTTCTGGAAGCTTCTTAGATGTGGGGGAGAATGAGTGTACCTTATTTTGTGAATGGCAAAGCATGTAATGCAAGCAGTGTGATTTGTCATTTGCGAACTGTGGTGTGTGGATCAAAGTTGGGAGGGACGTTGGTGGGTCTCATTCATAGAAAAGTGTCCAGTGCATGCACAGACTTTTATTAGCAAAACGACATCGCTTGCATCATAAACATACTATTCCAAGTCCACGGCATTCTCTATCTTCTCTCTGTTTTTTTTTTTTAATTTTATTATCAAAAAGTTGAAATGAATTGGATCAATTAAGATTTATTAAAATCAAGACATATCCTCATAGTTTAAATTTAAAAAACGCTTATAAAATATTTACAGATCATTTATTAATAAAATTTTTACATTAATAATAAAATTTAATCTCATAATTTTATAAATTATGAGTTAAATTATTATTAATTGAATTACCTTTTATTAGTTTTGGTGAGATGTTTCTGTGGTCTCCTCCGCCATCTGTTTTCTCTTTCTTGTGTTTTCTTTTCCTTCTTTGGGCTCCATTTCCTTTTTTTTTTCTTCTCCGCCACCCATTTTTTGATTTAATTTTATTAAAAATAAAAAATTCATCGTAATTGACCCCACCATTATATAATATATTATCATCTTCTATCTAATTCAAACCGACATCCTCAAGTTAAATCTTTCTTTCAATGCGTGTTCAGTATTTACTTTTTACATCGGAAATTTTAAAACCATGGGAGCAATATGACTACATAATTTTACAAAACCATTTATGGTGGCATTTAAACCAGATAAGTGGACATAAAAAAAAATATAAATCATGATCGCAAAGAAAAATTTATGTATTTTTTATTTTCCAGTGCTTTTCTATATATAAAATATAAAAGCTGTATTAAAAATATATAAAATTTTTAGGAGTATAAAACACTAAAAATTATAGGAACAAACTTAAAAATTAAAATAAACTAAAAAATCAAAATATTATTTTTTTAAAAAATTACTTCTTGTTGTGTACTACATTAGTACGTACTGCATACTATTGGGAAGGGGAAAAAAATAGAAGGGGTCTTTTTCTCTCAATCACAAACGAATTAACAAAAGTCAACAAACTCATTGGGCTTAAGCACAGATTTATCCATTATGTAAATGTTATGCTAGTCAATTATTTGAAATCAAGGTGCAGGCTTGCAGCTGCAATCCATCAGGATTGAAACTAATTGGTTTATTTTCACACGCCATTTTCAACTAAATCTATATACTTTTTTCATTAAAAAAATATAAGGTATTTTTTGAAAGTTAGATAATTTAAAATATAATATATTTTTAATCTTTCGAGGTGTGATCATTTTTTTCTAAAAATGCCCCTATTGATAATAATTTTATATTTATTATAGGGTGTTTAATGGGAGTAAATATAAAAAATAGGGTTAGTTTAAAAATATGTAACTATTTTATTGGAGTGAGGTTCGGTTCTATTAAAAATGTCTTACATTTTTTAATGGAAGGAGTACTTGTTTAACAATTTCTTTAAATAAAATATGATACATGCAGGGCAAGATTTATATATTTAGCTTTATATACTCGATATACTTTTATCAAATTAAATTAAGACAAGTAAATTTTAATGTGCTAATAATATTAATAATAAAAATTTTTTATAGAATAAATAATCTATAAAGATCTATATCTATTGATTTAATTGAAAATAAATTTCTTAACTTTTTTTCCTTTTGTTAATAACTTAATATGGTGCGGGATTACAGGACAGAACATATATGAGGTGAGTTATTGTAGAGAACTCAAAAAAAAAAAATACATATACATAGAGATTGATTATTTATTAAATTACTTGAAATCTAAAAAAATAATTAAATTTCTTTAAATAAAAAATTAAATGAAAATTTTCACTCATGATCATTTTCCTGTTGAGGTAGGAAGATACATGTAGAACAAGAGAATCCTATGACTAGTGTTTGACTCTATTCCTATAGCATATGTAGTTTATATAGCCATGTTCCTAAACTATAATGATAGTAATAATAATTCAAAGGATTTTTTTTACACAAGTAGTGTGAGTTCTGTGTCTTATTTATGACTTATGAATATGAAACTCATTAAAATTTTGTATTATATATAAATTATCTGATATTTGATGCTAACAACTCAAATTTAAGTATTATTATATCAATTAGGATAATTCCCGCAAAATAATTTTTTTCATTTACAAGAGTTTATACATGATTTTTGTTTGACCATGTAATTGAACGAATTTGACAGGCTGGTTACCTTGCAGAAAGAATTCCTTAGTTTTTCTAAAATGGTATTATTATTATTATTTTCTTTTCTTTTTTTTTTCAAAATTTTTTTTTCCCTGCTACATGCCCCGGAATAGAAGTTAGACTAACAGAGAACGAAGCATATTCTGCTTCCAGTATTGTGCTGCAGAATCAGGTTCCTAGCCTTTTTTTAACTTTATACCATTCTCAACTTTTTAGCTAAGGTAAAGCAAGGCATTTTTCTTTCCTTTTAAGAACACTTCAATAAACAATACGTTTTTATTTGGATCTCCTTCCAAAAAGCTGTGTGAATTATGTTCCTCTTTTCCACTAATACCTGAGATCTCTTCCCTACTAGTTAAAATGAATTATCTTTTAACCGCACAAAAATCAATCCTGATTCTCCCAGAAAAAAGCTTTCTTTCCCACAGTTTCATAGTAAAATATTCACCAAACATTGATGATCACATTGCAGAGAGAAAGAAACTCCATGAGATATATATTATCAACATATAAGTACACAGCTTTGCTTCTCAGTTCTGCACATAATTTACACATTTTTAATGTCAAAACTCAAAAATACATTACAACATCAACAGAGATGAAAATGCCCCCAGTGTCAGCAGAATTAGTAAGCCAAAAGGTTTTTAAAGCACTAAAACATTTGCAACCTTTTACTCTTACAATTACATACACATGATTTTGACATTGACACAGAACCTTAGCTCTGGACTGGTGAAACCAAAGTCTCAACATAGACTTCTGCATCAAACCAGCCCTTTCCACCTTCAATCCTGGGAAACTTAAATGACTGGTCCTTTTGATCGTACAGAACCAAGTCAAATTCAAACATCAACAGGACTTGACCATTCTTTGAGATGCAATATGGTACTGAGTATGAAAAATCTTCAGGATTAGGCAGATAAGGGATGCTTACCAATTTCACCCAGGATTCTCTAACACCATAGTCCTTCATTAACCACACAACAAAATGGGTTTTCTTGTAGTCATAGTTCATGCAAAGGCAGCCTCTCAGAACACCTAAAGTTGGTGTGGAACAATCCTCTTTCTCATACTCAGGAGGATGAACTTCCCTGTATGTTTCGTTATGAAGATCCAAAGATATAATTACCCACAAAGAAGTTGGACCAGAAGAGTAATTTGCCGCCCAATTGAGAGACCCACTCACGAATTTCCCTGAGTTCTGGTACGGTGTGATACCAAAAGGGAAATCCTGAATCTTCCTCCATGAATTAGAAGCCATGCTGTAAATTTTAACTTTAGTTTCACTGTAATACACATTGGGGTCACAGAACACAGCGACAACCTTGTAATCGTCGTTGACATGATCATAACCAAGCCCAAAAGCAGTGTAACATCCAGGTCTCCAATCATTACCCAGTGGAGGTGATTTCTTCGATACTCTAGTTGATGGGTTCCAAAGAAGCACAGACTCAGCTTTAATGGCGAAACAGAGTAATCCATGATAGGAGCCTATGATACCATCATGGCGAAACTTGTTCTTTACTGGGTAATTAAGGTCCTCAGAAATGGTGGACGGGTTATTGATCAGAGAGCTCATATGGCAAGATTTGAGATTGAATTCGGCAGTTGTGGAACTTAATATGATCCTATGGTGAGTGAAATTGGGGCTCTGAGTTGATAAGTGAAGGTGCTTCCTCACAAAGTAAGAATCAGATATTAACGACTTCCATCGCTTGCAAACGCACCTGAATTTAAGAAGCGATTTCACGGGAAGCCTCGAGAGAATTTCTTCGATGAGCTCGTCGGGAAGGAAGGGCAGAAATGGAATCAAACCCAGAGAAACGGTGTCGTTTCTACGCGGAGCTCTATACTGATCCTGATGATGAATCGAAGGTGGTGGAAGCAGCCCGAGAGCTTGATGATGATTCTTGTGATTAGTGAGTCGCTCTCGCTTCCGAGTAGAATCAGGGGGAGTTCGCCGGAGAAACGGAGGGCCTCGGCGGTGGCGGTCGTGATCGCTGTCGTCTCCCGACGACATAACGGTGACGGAGGAGATTGTTGGGCGGATAAAAAGGATTCGCTTCGGAATTTTTCTGGGTAGTGGTAGGGGTGAGTGAGTGAGTGAGTGAGTGCGTGATTTTCCTCCTCTTCTTCTTTGTGTTGGTGTTTCTGGTTCTTCTTCAACCTCTCGCTGTCACAGATTCATTGTGGCTTATGAAGATTAATAGATTACCATCATACCATGATTGCGCGCCACAAACACGCCATGACAGTGTTCTCCTTTTTATTTTTCAATTTAATAATCTTAACATATTTTTTTTTTTTTACCCCTCCTCCTTCGGATATAGTACAATATAGAACATGAAGTTGAAGTTGCGTAAAGACACAAAAAATAATAAAATGTTTAAGACCTATTTAATTTTGTATTTTTAAAATTATTGTTATTCTATAAAATTATTATATTAAAAAAACATTTCAGGTTTGTTTTCTTTTTTTTAAAAGTATTTCTTCTGTCCCTGTATATAAAATGTTACACTTCATGTAATCATTGTAAATTAACTCTTAATTATAATTGATTACTATTATAAACTATTATCATAAAATCACTAATCGCTTACTACCATTACTCTAAAATTGTTTTAAAATTAATAAAATCAAACATATTTTATTTTAAAAAATAATTTACAAAATATTTTTAAAAATAAAAAAATGAGAACAAATTCATATAAACCCTAAACATACAAACTTATGGTCGCGTAGAACATCGTGTGGGATCAAATTGTTAAAATTTATTACCTATAAAATATAGTTGTGATCGATCTAAATTACTAAAATTCCAAAAGCTTCCTTCAGTAAAATAATATACATCCATTGAATTAACATTTCAATAAAATAATAATAATAATTACTATGACGTATTTATAACAACCCTCCCTTTTCGAAAGAAACTTTTAACATTAAACAGTTGTTTCTGGTGAAATTTATGGAGGCAAAAGCAGTACAAGTACAATACGACTAGAATTCCACAAATTACTATGTCGTTTTCAACCTCATAAGTAACTTTTTGGACCTTCCAACTTAATGAACTTTCGAGATTTATCAAAAAGAGTATGCTTGAAACGAAAAAAGAAGATGAAAATTAAAAATTGCTTTTACAAGTAGCAAAGAAAGCAGAGATCAAAGAATTCTCAAGCGGTTACAACAAACCTGATCAAATAGGGTTGGGGCTTACTTCATCGTCATCTAACAATGGTCGCCGGAGTTGTTATAGGCGGTGTCTGCAAAATTTTCGGTGGCGGTGAGTGAGTTTATGTGATGATCGTCGTCGTCGTCGTTATCTTATTCTATCACAACCACTCGGTCTCAGAGAGCTTGAGCTTCATGTTTTTAAAGAGGATGATGATAGCGATAAGTTTGTATGTATTATCATATAGCTACACAGTCGTGCGGTCCCAGCTTTCTCTATTTTCTTAACTCTTATCTTTTCTTTATTCTCTGGATAAGACAAGGGTAATTTGAGAATTCTTGTGAGTCATTTAAATTACTTAAATTCAAAAGCTCATCTGTAAAACGACAAAAAAAAAAAAGAAAAAGAAAAAGAATAGAATAAGTAATTTAAGGGGTTTTTACATATATATAGCTTACTCCTTTTGTTTTTATTTATAAAAAAATATTATTTTTTACTTATTTTTTATATAAGTAAAATCACCCATTTTAATAAACATTTATTATATATTTTTTAAATTACTTTTTATAAGTTACATCAATGAGAAATGATTAATAATTTCTTATGTTGATTAATATAAGATATTTTAGTTTAATTTTTTTCATTTTTAGACATAATTATTATGGTTAACTAACTTTTTTTAAATTGTATGATATAATTTTTTTCTTATATATAAAAGCGAAGGAAGTATATTATAGGGCTAAATCAAGCAAACATTATTATATTTATTATATTTATTATATTTTGTGTTGTGATCGGTTTATTATATTTATTAATAATATACCTTCAAAGGAAAAGGAAAATACTTGGATAAATCAGGTGCATTATATTATTTATGATCTGTCTAATTAAAACATAACATTTGGATAGTATTGAATATAAGTTAATTTTAATATTAATGATAGTAGAGAGAAAAAGCAAAAAAATCAAATAGGTATTATGTTATAAAAATAAAATTAATTAAAAAATATTATATAATATTTTATTTAGATTACTTAGAATATTTTAATTGAAAAGATTATAAATAATATGATACACCCAATTTATTTAAATATTTTTTATCACTATATATTAATGACAAATTTTTTATAAATTTTTAATAATAAATTTATTGTGTATCAAGTTATATTATCAAGTTTTTAAAAATTTAATTCATATCTTTTGAGTACCAGATATTTTTCCCCCCGACCAATGAACTAATTTATCTTTAATTTAATTATGTGATGATGTAGACTTATCCGCTCCATGCTGTTGCAGTACATAGGAATTGAATTCCAATAATTGTCTGCTTAGGAATTATTAGTTGTTTCTCTGTAGCTTTGTCAACTTGCTTTTTAAGCTTATTGGTTCGTCTGTTATGATGTTTATCATCACGGGAGATTCTTATGGAACTCTCTGCTCTCTGTTTTTTTTTTTTTAATTTGGTTTTTGTTTTATTAAAATAACATGAAATGATTAGTTTAATAGTGATGATTCATCTTCTCGTGATGGTAGTTAGTCAAGCATGATCAATATTCTATATCCTAAATTCTTCCTTAACGGCTTACCAATTCTAATTTGGATTCTATTATGTGATGTAAACAACGTTACCTGTTTGAATTTCAATTAGATATAATTAAAGTATGTTCATGATACCCGATTACTTGATATGCCTGCCAGAACCCAATTAATTTTTGCCCAGTCCGGCCAAAAAAAAAGCTCAAAATGTTCTGTGCATGTTTGGGCAAGACAATGTGCGGGCAGGGCCAGGCAACAAGCAAGTCATGCATCCCAACCCCTTTTTTTTAATTATTATTATTTTTAGTTCAGAGTTCAGACTTATTGAGAATGAGAGGGAATTGGCTACAGTCAAATAAAAAAAGAGAGGGAAAAGATTAAAGTTAAAATTTTTCTATTGCAAATCTGCCATTTCCCTAACTGAAACCGAGAGTCAAAGATTAGGGAGAGAACAAGAGCGACTAGCGAGTGAGCGACAGGCAACCACGACTGAGCTCTTCTTTCCTCTCCAATCTCCTCTCTCATCTGAGCTTTTAAGCTTGAACAAAGTCGGATCATCTCCCAAATTCCATCAACGGCGTGCGAGTGCGATGATGCCCTTCCCTCCCATCTGCAAATTAATGCTTAATCTTCACCTTCTTTCCCTGTGCAAGTATGAGTGGCAGTACAATGTGTGACTGTGCAAAGGAGCTTGAGTGCTTGACTAAACTCAGCATCTCTCACTCCACCACTCTCTAGTCTCCAGTCCCCACAATTGCATTGTCGCACAAAAGCTCTCGTCTGCCCAAGTTCACGGTTTGTCACTCTCATCACACAGAAGGTCTCGTTTGCCTAAGTTCATAGACTCATCTGCCCAAGGTAAGATCTTCTCTCAATTTTTTTTCCATAATCTTGTCATGGTTCCCTGTATTATAGAAATATTTGATTTGAGCAACCCTGTTTTTAGATTCTTCCCTTAAGGAGGTTCTTGGTTTATATTGTGAAATTTTTATGCTCAAAATTGATCTAATGTATTTCTGCTAAGAAATACTAGGCTTGAATGTTCAATTTAAAACTTTGTTTGCTTGCTTTCATTGTGCTGATTGCTAAACATGTGGTTTGGCATTGCTACGTGTAACACCCTCAAATTTACAAACCGATTTTTCGCAAATTATTAATTCAACAAATTATTTTTTTTTTGAACCCTTATCATACCCTTATCATGGTAGAAAAATTTCTACCATGATACATCCAAGATAATATATCACAGGTCTTAAAATATCTCAAAAAGCAATTAGAACCATGAGGGACAGACAGGATCCTCATGTCATGATATTCAAATCAGATCATAAATCAAGAGGGACAGACATAATCCTCTTGGTCATATAAATACTTTTAATAAAAAGAATTAGAGTTTACATGCTTCACAAAAAGATATGTCCTAAGTTGGCACAAGATACATTGTATAATCTAAAATAAGAGGCAACGTAAAAGATGGTGTCTCATACACCATAGTTACACCTCTGGTGCTTTCTCGGCCGGACTCGCTCCTGTAAAAATATTAACCACGAGGAATGAGACTTAAAAGTCCCAGTAACCAAAAATTAATATGTAATGATGCATGCGGATGTAACTAATCATGCGATTGCTAAGTGGGCACACAAAACATTTAACCGAACAATATTTTCAAACAAACCGATCAAGTATTTAATTGCATGACTGCACCTTATATCCTTCTTTCACCATGCTCGGACGCCAAATCACCCGGCCAAAGGTGAGTTGGACCAAGCGACACGCCACTCATTGGGTCCAATGAGGGCTTACCACGTGGTAATAATTAACCGAACAGAAATTCCCATTAACACCATACATTAAAATACCCTGACAAGTCATGCATCATTCAAATATCCAAACAGGAATATATCCGAACAATAATATCTCATCATGATAAACAAAAATAAATTTTTAACCCACTTGACAACGATTTCACAGAAGTATATAACAGTATTTATTTTCAATAATTCATAATTTTTCCAAACAACAAAACAACACATAATCATTCACAAACACACCCATCACAACACATTAATAATGGTTACCTTGTGTCTTGAATAATAAGTTTCCCTTCACAACTCCTTTTTCACCACTATCTTTGTCAATATAATCTACATAATTATTTCATAATACTATATATTAATTTTACATTAAAATAAATAACTCTAATTTAAAGAGTTAGAAAGTCTTAGATTTATAGTCCATATTAACACTAATTTAAGATTTATGCCTTATTTAACTTCTCAAATTCTTTTCTAAAATTCTCGTACCCTAATGAACTATTTTTTTTTATCCTCAATTCACTTCTAGTATCACAATTTCATCCTTCTATATTCTAAAAATTCATCCAAAAATAAATTAAAAATTTTAGAATTATCCTGAAGCCTCAAATCACCTTTCTATAACCTCAAAAATACCTATTCATACTTAAATAAATATTTAATAATCATAGGTTTATCCCTACGTCTCAGATTCCACATAAATTCAACCATATAGATCTAGATTTTAACTCAAAAATTCTTAAACATGAGTTTCAACCTTAAGAAAATATTCTATAATATTTTTTATATTCCTAAAAATTTTAACCTATATTTTTAATCCATCATATCATCAGATTAACTATCCTATAGAAAAATCCTAATCAAAATATTTACTCTATCCTACAAAATAATCATATCACTAGAAAGCTAATATTATTTAGAAAATAACTATAAAATTAATTTTGTAATTAAATAAATTTTTAAACGCTAATCTAAACAGGAAAGTTAGAACATACCTGAAGAAAAAGAAAATAATCCCCCCTTGCGAGAAAAACGCCGAGCAACGTGAGAGGAAGAGAGAAAAAAAATATAAAAATGGGATTGTGGTCCCAAAATTATATAAAAAAAACTATAGGTTTGAATTTAATTATTCAAACCTTTGGGCCAAAAGTTGTAATTTTTTTTAAATTGCATCTTAGCCCTCATGCTTCCTAATGCACACACCCCCTCCTTTTTATACATGAAGGTACCTCTTCTCTTCCCTCATCTAACCAATGTGGGACTTAGAAACAACAACCTTCCACCCCCTTTTTTTTGTTCCTTCTACCTTCTCTTTTTTTTTCAACACATACATAAAAAAAATTATTTATGTATTATATCTTAACTAAATATTGCTTATGTGATTTTAAATTTAAATTTTTAAAGTCATAATTAAATACCTAACCATAATATTATTTCTAAATAACCTCAAATAATATAAATTCCTATTATTATCATTTTTTTTCTCAAAACCTAAATTCCACAATTTCTTTATTATATAAAAAATCAGGATGTTACACTACGGCCATCTAAAGTTTTCTTTAACTACTACTTGGGTTAGTTGCATATATACCTCAGTGCAATTATATCACATTTTGTAAGGTGTTATTCTCAATTTTTTCTATTTTTGGTTGCATTAGTGCATATCACATCCTATACTACAAGCATTTTGAAGGTCTTGTCTGCCCAAAGTTAGATTTTCTCTCAATTATTCTTATACCAAATTCTACTCAGGAAGTCAAGGGAAAGAATTGAATTAATGGAATTGGATTACATTTTGAACTTGGACTACATTTATGTGTGTGTGAATTTATTGTTGGACTTGGATT